TCTTTACCCATGAGCTCCACTTCAAAAATAAATTATTAAATAAATAATCAGAAAAATGTTAGAAGAGCATAATATAGATGTGATCTGCAAGTACAAGAGATATCTTGAAGAATGGGTGCCTCCTTGCTGCAAATTTTCTGGACTTGCTGTATTTATCACCAAATTTTTATGTGTTCTACAAGATGTGCTTGTAAAATCCTCATTTTATCTTTTTTTCCAGTGCTTCAATATGTTGTTATTTATATATAAATGATAAAAGCCACAGTGTTTTGCAACTGGTAGGTTTCTCTTAGTACACTATAATTTAGTACTTTATTCTTTGGACAGAGTCCACATGGTTTTTTTTTTTTAATGCCTCTAAACCACGTAAATCAAATATTTTATTAGGAAAAGTAGAGTCAGAGAAACAGAAAGGTCATCTCTACCAAACAAAACCACATTTCTCTAGTCTTTGATACTTAATTTCATCTGTTCTCTTCTCCTCCAACACGGAACACACATTTTTAATGCAAAAGTGAATAGAAACCAAATATAAAATCTGGTTGAAGTCTGGCTCTATTTGAATCACCAAATGGGTTCATTAATCAGTGTAAATTAGCAAAATCATGTATATATCCCTGATCTGCTCACTAACACTGTTGTTATCTCCTATCTCCCTTTGTAGACCTGAGAGAAAGAGGCTAGTACTGTCACTCTATACTTACTACTATGCTCATCCCTCTGAATTTTCCAAGAATCCTCCCTGGCTGCTACTACTACCCCTCCTATCCATAGGACTCATTCCAATTCTGTTCTTTCTTTTACATTTAACTTCTTCTGAAGACCTAGGGAAAGGGTCTCTCATTCTTGACATCCAGAATTCTGAGAGATCCTGTATTTCTCTCTACTGGTACCCAGTTATACTCCTTATAATTCCCTTCTTCCATTCATAACATTCACCAGCCCCTGCCTAACCTTCTTTGTTTCCTGCTCCTCTGGATTACTATCTTCCATGACGCCTTTTTTGCCCCTTTTCCTACAACTTGGGTAATTCATGGGCACTGAAAGTATTTTTATCATACTATCACATTCTCGCTGACTTAGTGACCTTGAATCAACTACTTCATCTTATCGGAGAAGGAATCTAGGGTTGAGCAGTTGACTGGCTGAGTGACGAATTTTTCTACTTTTCTTTTTTCTTTTCATTTGCGATAAGACTGTCTTTGAAGATCACCATCACAAAAAAGAAATAAACAAGAAGTTTATGACTCTATAGCCCAGATATAAACAGACATGTATGGATTTGCCTGTGAAATGAGTTGTATATATGGGTCATGATGACCCATAAACAAAGCTTTGAACTAGGAATTAGGAAGCACAAAAATGTCACTAAATAATTGTGTGACTTTGACCAAATCAGGAGGATGGAATTTCTTCATCTATAAATGAATGGAATCAGACAGCATCTTGCCTAACTCTGGAAATTTATGATTCTATTACAAAGCTTTGTAAAACTGAATAATGCTCTATGTAGAGAGACCAGAAAGTTTTAAGAGACATCGCTTTTTTGCCATTCATTCTTTTTATAACTTTTACCAGTACACGTGTCCTATTCTGCTATTCTTTTGTTTCAAATTGAAAAGGGTGGCCTGAGAGAGTGAGATGAGCTCTAGAGTAACAGGCCATTAAGGGAACTAAACCTGGATTTCCAACAAACAACCACTGGTCCCAGGTAATATCCCAGTGGTCTTCTGGGACATCACTCTTTTTTCTTCATTGATAGGTGCACACCAAGCTTCTCTCTGTTCCATCTCAGATATCTCAGGAGTTTGTCAGACCCTGAAATAACAATCAGAGGAGTAACTGAAGAACACATTTTTTTTTTATAAGTGAAACTCTAATTTTGCTTTTTACTAAAACCCCTTTCCTAATCAGTACATTTAAAATATTTGAATAACTGTGCAATAAATAGCAAAGGATGTAAATGATTACTTCATAATTACATGCCATATTGATGATACTGGGGCGCCTGGGTGGCTCAGTCAGTTAACTGTCTGCCTTCAGCTCAGATCATGATCCCAGGGTCCTGGGATTTAGTCCCATGTCAGGCTCCCAGCTTGGTGGAGAGTCTTCCTCTCCCTCTGCCCCTCTCCCCCTTCTCTCTCCCCCTCCCCTCTGTCTCTCTCTCTCTCTCTCAAATAAATAAAATATTTAAAAATAAATAAATAAATTGACAATACTAACAAGAATTCCCTATCACTTACCGGATATCATTGGGAAACTTACTTAATTTTTCTCAAGCCTCAGTTTCTCTCTTTCTGAAAAATGTGGATAAAAGTAATACCTACCTTAGCACTCTTGGGAGGATTGAGTAAAATGAATAACATAATATACGTGAAGCATGGCCAAGTGTATGGAGCTGAAAAAATGCTCAGAAAATATTAGCTGCTCTTATTGTGATGGTGGTGGTTGTTGTCTAGTATTATTTGCAATAATTCTTGCAATAATAATAATAATTGAAGAAGTGCATAGAAAGGTCTAGAAAAGCCAGAGATGGCCTTGTGAAAGATGTGGTCCTAGAGCTGGGCTGCAGAATATACCAAATTTGGATGAGTTTGGAGGCCAGGGAAATCTTTTCAAGTTCTTCAGATAAAAGGATGGGCAGAGGAACAAGATGGGAGAGAGCATGGTTACCTTTGTCTAGATAGAATGAAGTTTATGTGGGAGAATAAAAGGAAACAGCACTGAGAAGGCCCTGGGGTAAGGGTGGGGTTGGGGAGAGGTGACAGGAGCAAAACCTTTGTGCCACATTATTATGGGATCTATTAAAACAATTTAAAGAACTTTTAAAAAAACTTCTTCAGAAAATCATCCTGTTGTAGATACCATAACCATCACAAATTTGACTCCTGGCCTCTTGTGTTCCATCCATAAAGACAAGTTCAAAGACAGCCACCAGGGAGTTTCTTTTGCTGGAACAAGAACCTAATCATGGGTGCTCCTGCCCCGCCCACTGTCACTGGCTGACACTGTGAGCCCCGAGCAGCCTGAAAGGAATTGACCATAAATGTACTGAATAAAATTGTAATCCAGAGTGTAGTCTTCTTGAGACCAGGGGCCCCGACGTGACCCTCCCACGTGCCCCACATAGTAGCCTCTCTTTCAGCGCGGATGGCCTACTGAGTTGAATTCCAGGCACTCTGGGGTTTAGGACACTGCACGCTGAAGCAGAAGAAGCTTATCTAATCCTAAGGGCCTGGAGGAGGTACCTCAGAGGGAGCCCTGAACCCAGCACTGTTTGGACCCCTCCGAAATCCCTGGCAGTTCCCTTCTTTCCCTTCCCATCACCATCTCTCTTTCATCAGCTGTAATGGCTTATCGTCCTTCTTTCCTATTCAACATCTGTTTTCTATTGTCTCCCGCTGTTCTCCTCATTGTTTGTCCTTCTTGATCATTCTCACAGATCTGGGGCTCTGTCAGTAATCCTAAAATTGACTAGCTAATGGTTTATCCCCTGAGAGAGCAAGCCTTCCCCACACCAGGACCCAGCTCTGCACTGAAAACAACAAACAAAACCAAAAAACCCACCTCAGACTGTTTGGCGGGGGCTTTTTCTGTGTTAGGAGACATGTGAATTTCCCAATTCAGAAAGGGTGAAAAGAAACAATGCAACGTCCAGACCTGGGCTGTTTCAGAAAGCCGGTGCACATTCCCAGTAGCAGTGAATAATGGCAGGTGCTGGGAGGAATCCCAGATGGGTAGCTGGATTCCTGAAGCCAGCCAAGAGTGGATTGCGTGTGTTTTCAGAGCTGCACCACTGCTGTGCAGTCCACGGGTGCCTCGCCGCTGGAGGCCCTGGAGCACTTTGAAAACTGCCCCTCGTTATCTTTTGCCTCCGTGTTACCAACTTCGCACCTAGCCCCGCGGCACTTTTCCTGCTGCGGGTCACCAACAGCTAGCAGAGAGCTGGCAACCGTCCTGAATGTGCAGTCGAAACGCAAGCTCCGTTGTGTCAGGCTGAAACAAAGAAATGTTTTAGAGCTCTCGTTATCTTGACTTCAGACATCATGCCTTCTGTTTATCAACTCTGCAGCCCAATTTTGGGCCCGTGTTAAGAAATAAAATAAAATCATGCACGCTCCTCCTTTTGCCCTTTAGAAACTCTCTCCCTTGGCGTAACTATATCTTTTTATGGATGCAGAGTTGGCTCAATGATATGAGTTATAGATCTTCCTCACTAACAAGCCTTTTCCAGCCAAAGCAGCAACTGAAGTCCCAGACACAAGGACATCAAAGAGTGGTGGCATCTTGCCTTTGCTTGGCCCACCCGTGTCTCTGCAGCACAGTGGGGCAGCTCAGAGGCAAGTAGAAAGGGGTTGGAAAATAGTGAGAGAAGAGCATGAGCCGAATCCTGCCAAGTATCTATGCAAAGAACATCCTACTTATACCAGGTTCTCACTCAGGTCCTTAGAATGCTTACACCAGAAGGTGTCCACTCCCATGTCGCCAGGGGGCTAAACGCAGACCAGGCTGGCCCCCGTGGTCAAGAGCCAGAATGCCTTGTCTAAAGGGGCAGCAGCTACCTGGCTTCATTTAAGCATTCGCTAGACAGGAAGCAGATCCAGTGTCAGCCAGATCTTCTGATTTTCTAGAGAAGCCAGAAACCAGATATTTATGTGAAAGCTCCTAATTTGTTAATGTTGGCAACAATTTAAAGACAACCTCTAAGTACTGCACGCGCCAGTCAAAACCTGTCGGCGGCAGCGCTGGGGCTGCCAGCGTTGGACTTCTGGCTTACCTAGTAGGCACACCCTGAAGGCTTCATCATCAGCTAGAGCCTTCCCTCATCGTCCATGGGGATCAGGGAAAAGGAACGTTTCCGGCTCTTTTACGAATTCTTTCTACCGCACATTTTTAAAAAATCAGAGTTTTAAGAATTCTTGGACCTCTTTTCTGAACATAATCTGGAACAGACCCCAGCTTCCAGTGTGGCCTCAGGGTGATCCATCCCCTCAAGTGACCTCCAGTCCGTGGCTGGTCCGAGAGGGGAAGAGGGAGATGCTGGCCATTCTGAGCCTGTTCTGGATGAGTGCAAAGCACCTCAGTTCCCCTGGCTCAGCTCTGTAGCCCCAGAGCAGACACAGATCCAGTTACTCTTGATAGGTGGGGAAAAGGCACATGGTGGGTGTCAGATGGGCCAGAGCTCCTCTGCTGTCCTTGGCAAGCTGCAGTATGTCCGTGCTGAAGGGAATGAGATGCTAGGGGAGACAGAAGAGACAAAGGAAGCATAGAAAGGGGGGGTGTGGGGCAATGTGTTCCTATTCCTCAGTTGTAAGTAAGAACGAGCCATCAAAAGCAGAAGTAGAAGGGCTGAAGAACCAGACCATGGGAATGCTCAGTTCTCCTTCCTGACTTGCTCCTTGAACGTGCCCAGCCATCTACCTGACTATTGGAAATCTTTGCCCAAAATAGAAGTGGTGCCAATGGCTGAGATGGAGGCAACAGACTATTTTTATTCCAAGTGGAGGAATAGGCCACGTAGGCAGATGAAAACATAGGGCAGGTCAAAAGAATGTCAGCCCCCAAGCTCATGGGTGTGTTTCTTCCTCATGGTGTGAGATTGGGCCAGAAATCTGTCTCACCAAGTCAGGACCTGCAGTTCAGGCTTTATTGAGCTGCGGGTCAGAAATGCAGCACAGGATTTGAGACAAAAGCAAGGCTTTCATGCCCAGTGTCATCTGCGTCTTGTGTTTCTTTTTTTTGTTTCAATGGATTTTTTTTTTTCCCAGAGAGGAGAGGATGACGTAAGCCAAATATGCGATACAGGCTCATCTAATTAAAATTTTGTTTATTTACTTGTGATTTTAAAAGAATATGAAGCATACTTGTGAGACATTTGTGTCTGGAAAGAGTTGAGCAACTCTAAAGCTGTAACGTGAGGCGATTGGTTAAAAATTGCTAAATTATGTTTCTTTATTTTCCGCGAAATGTCAAATGTTGTTCTTTTGCTTCTATAAAGGTCAATATGGCTTAAAGAGAAAGAGGGGAAAAAACCAAACTTGGACCATTAACTTGTTATTGAACTTTAGAAGTGTTTTATTTACCAGTAAAATTAAATCTAAAAATGTTGTGGTGGCTCTGAAACAAGAAAGACTAGATTGCAATAAAGTTAATGACTTTGTGTTACTTTCCTCTTCTTTCTGGGCCTTCCAGTGAAAAACAAAAAGGAGAAAATGAGTTAGATGGCAGAAGTTATTTATGATTAGTCCGTATATACATATATGTGGAATATATCTTCCGTTGCATGGATGGGGTGTCATAATTTTTTCCTTATGCTTTCTGCCCTTTGATGTTCTTGAACAGAATATAGCTGGGGAAATAAAATTCTTTTGGTAAATACGTTTTAGAGTGGCATTTACTAATGGTAAGCAGGGACTTGCTTCTCAGAGAAGTTGTCTCCTTTTTAAAAGCAATGATGAACAACCATACACACACACACACACACACACACACACACACACACACGGCTAGAAAAGGAGAAAGCACTCTTTGTTCTAGGTTATTTCCAAATAACCACTGTTATGTATTACCACCATTTGATCTGGTCATGAGGCACTACTACCTCATATCCCTTTCTGGGGAAAAAAAAAAAGTAAAAATAATGAAACAGCACTATTTAACAGTGCAAAACCATAAACTTGAATTACGTCTTTTTTTTTTTTTTAAGATTTTATTTATCTGAGAGAGAGAGAGCACACGAGCAGGGGCAGAGAGGGAGGGAGAAGCAGGCTCCCCGCAGAGCAGGGAGCCCGATGTGGGACTCAATCCCAGGCCCCTGGGATCATGACCTGAGCCGAAGGCAGACGCTTAACTGACGGAGCCACCCAGGCCCCTTGGACTGCGTCTTCTAATCCTGTTGCAAAGGCTGAGAGTAGTCTGGCAAAATGCAGGTCAGAAAATTTTTGCTTTCACTGACAGAACACATACTAGTGACATATTCGAAATATGCAAATGTTCATCTTTTTAAAAAAAATTCCAGTGTAGTTAACATAAAAGTGGGTATTTTTGTAGCTCCCCTCTCAGCTTCCCAAGTCTTTTTCCTTCTCTTGGCCCCTGCCCACTACCGCCTAATCTGTGCTCTTTTGCTGAGTGTGGCTTACGGTCCATTAACTCCCTGTCGACAGTCCCACAGTGCTAGTTTCAGGTGTGCCTCTTGCCACGATATTGGCTTTTTTAAAAAATATTTTATTTATTTATTTTGAGAGAGAACGCTCGAGCGGGTGGAGAAGCAGAGAGAGTGAGAGTGAGTGGGGCGCGGGAGGGGCAGAGAGAGACTCTAAAGCAGCCTCCACACTCAGCGTGGAGCCCAACTCAGGGCTGGATCTCATGACCCTCAGAAAGTGGATTACTAAGGCAAATGGGTTTTACCACATTTACTTTCTCTCCAGGAGTAGGAGAAACAAGAGAGAGACTGGGAGCCCCCCTTTTGTTCGAATTTAAAATTTTTAATATTGAAGTATAGTTGACATACGATGTTATATTGACACAACCAAAGGAAACCACAAAATGAAGAGGCCACCTACTGAATGGAAGTCCCTTTTAAAAATGCCAATATCGGGGCACCTGGGTGGCTCCGTCAGGTAAGCGTCTGACTCGTGATTTCGGCTCAGGTCATGATCCTCAGGGTCATGAGATCCAGCCCTGCATTAGGCTCCACGCTGAGCGCGGAGTCTGCTTGAGATTCTCTCTCTGCCCCCCAACACTCGCTCTCACGATCTCTCTCTCTAAAAAAAAAAAAAAGAAGGCAACAAGGGAAGGTCTAAGAGTCCATTTTCAGTTGCTTCTCTGATTCACATATTTATTTTAATTTTTTTTCCTGAATAGACTTTTTTGTTTGTTATTATTTCTGAGTAGCCATCAGTGAGTTCCATTACATTATTAGTTTCACAAAGTGAATGTCTAGTAGACTAGGGTTTTGGCTTTTATCCTAAAATTTCCTATTGCATTTAGTTTCCAGTATATTTTGAACTCATCTATCCAAAAGCACGTCAGAATTAATTTTTAAAAATGTTTGTCTTGTTTTTCTCTCACAGTTAAATGTGGTTAGTATTAGGTTCATTGTGTAAGTTTCCATTTTCACTTTAGGCTCATCTAGTATTGCTGCATCAAAAGGAAGTTAAAACTTACTTGCTTAACATCATGTACCAAAGCAGGTGTAATGGGAGCAAAACTAGGACAAAAAATACTTGATCTGGAGATTGAAGAGTTGCAGTGGTGATTTTAACATGGCTGTGGGGAAAACTTGGGTCCTAGTGCCGACCCCTGAAGTTAACATAATGAAGGATTGAAAAGATGACAAGTGGGACAAAGCAATCATGGTAAAATGTAGTTTTCTTTAAAAAAATCTGTTCATAGCAGACTTCAGCGTTTTCATTTTAGAGTCAGGAAGAAAACCTCAGATTGATTGGTTTAGTTCAGAAAATCGCCTGAAAATATGTGACTCTAAGGTTTTCCATAATGCTGTCTTATGTTTGAGTTTGTGTGTTTTTATAATTAATTTCTAAAGATCAATATTTTTTAATATTAAAACTGAGGTTTAAAAGTCTCTAGAACTGTATAGTCTACGTTTGGGAGAGACAGAGAAAGAGGGAGACCTAGAGGCAGCCCCTCTGACACTTGGGGTCTCAGCAGCTTTGTCAGGGGCCAGTGCCGACCTCAGGCCGGGCTCGGTCCCAGGCAACAGAACTATCTAGAATAAAAGCAACAGAGTGGCCAGAGGAAAGGTCACATGCTACTTTTTGCTCTACCTCTCATGTCAGGTGTTCTCAGCCCTCAGGTCTTACCTCCCCTAAATTTATGAAAGTAGAGGAACGTTACTACCACTGATGCTCCCTCGACTTGTCGAGATAATCCTTTCAACTACGTGCTGCTGACGTGATATGTAAACACTGGTCTTTAAATTGTTCACTCTGAGTGGGCCATGTAATATAATTTGCCCAAATGATGCTTCTCTGAACAGATCGGAAATGCAGTTAGAAGATACAGTGAAAGCTGTCCTCTGAAACATCACATCTCAGAATCATTAGGGTGAATCACCGGGCCCATAAGAATGCTTTGAAAACCCCAGAGAGAGTCCAGGCAACATGAGTCTTGGTAAATGACAGAGTGAAGGGCCTGGAATCAGACAGGCTTAAGTTTGAATTCTAGGTAAAGTGCCGTGCCGAAGTCCCATTAAATGAAATAACACACATAAAGTGCTTAACTCCATTGCTTGGCATATAAGGAAATACTCAGTAAAGGGTAGTTTTACTACTTTAAAAAAAAAAAAAAAAGAAAGGAAAAAAAGAGAGAGAGAGGTAGAGAAAAGCTGCATGGCCTTAAATAATTCTCCATATTTATTTTGAATAAATGCATTTTGTGCTAGAGCCTTTCGTGGTAACCAGATCAGCAGAGCATGGAAAGTATTATTGCGAGGGCATATTGGCTGGAAAGAACAAATGCTGTGATTATGGTCAGACACTATACAGAGGGATCTTATTGCATTCCCATCTTCTTGCCTTAGACCGTGCTTTTATGTTCATGTGTAATTCTGTTCTCCTCTTTAAAATTTTCCCAGACCTGGCGCGCCTGGGTGGCTCAGTTGTTAAGCGTCTGCCTTCGGCTCAGGTCATGATCCCAGAGTCCTGGGATCGAGCCCCGCATCGGGCTCCCTGCTCCGTGGGAAGCCTGCTTCTCCCTCTCCCACTCCCCCTGCTTGTGTTCCCTCTCTCGCTGTGTCTCTGTCAAATAAATAAAATTTTAATAAAAATAAAATAAAATTTTCCCAGACCTTACCTTTCTTAAGGATCCAGCTTTAAATGTGCCACTTCCTGGAAACCTTCTGTGCCTCCCTAGTTTAGCAGAATCCCTTCTGAGGCCAGCCCCTACATTGTATTCTGTATTTTCACTTATTTGGCACATCCTACGCCACCTGGGGCTGTTCCCCAACCATTTCCCTGAAGACCCAAGCTCCTGCTCCTTTAGTACAGCTGGGAAAGTTTAATTACAGGGCTGGCACCAGGTCCTCACTAAATTCCTGTTGAATTAAATCTCTTATTTGAAATTTCCAATGCCCACAGTCCCCTCCCACAAATCTCCTCAATTTAGGGAAATCTCTTGGAATGACTCACAAGTTTTCACACCTCATCCCAAACTGACATTTTCAATTTATTTACATGCTTCATAGTTTTCCAGTGTGTACTATCAAAACAGTGTTTATATTAAAAGGGCATATTTAATTATCAAATATTTATCCTAAGAAATGTGATGATAGCCAGCAGCATTGTCCTGCTGAAGCGCTGAAGGTTACACACTTTGCCTCTAATAATAGATTTAGCGGTGGGATTAGGAATACAAGCAAGGTTAGCCTCCCAGAGCATTCTGATGGCCTTGGGCAACCAGGAAGGTGAAGTTGGTGTCTTTGTTAACTCACTAACTTTACTGGAAGTGAATATTTTCCATGTGCCAAGTTCAGTAAGTCATGGAGTAAATGTTTATTTTGTTATGCTTTGAAAAGTTGCTTTGCTTCTTGTAAGTTTTCTCGATGGAAGAATTCCAAGATATGACTTAATCTATGTTTGCAGCATTGAACTAGAGACAGGATCTGTTCTGTGACTTGGCTCTGTCATTTATGGGCCACTTCTGTAGGGAGGGTGTGTGGAAGCAACAGGAGAAATGCCTGGCGTTTGAATGCCAACAAGCAACATGCTCATAAAGTTCTTGATTTTCTAACATCTGACAGCCTGCATCCACCCTTGCAGAACAGGAGGTATCCGTCTTGCAGATCATAGACACTTGTTTCCAGAATTACAGCAACCAGGTAGTACGTAAGATTACCTCAGTGGACTTTCCCATAACCTGCACAAAGAACACCTTTGTGCTTTCCCGTAGGTGCTATGGTTTGACTCTTTGTATCAACTCCCTCAGGTCAGAGATGAATTAGCCATTACTGGTAGGGATGCCTATCACCAGTTGGGGCTATCTGTTATTAACCCTTGAATTTACTCTGCAGACATCCTATAAAGCATTTGAGAATTTATGCTTGTTAACTAACGTAATCTTTTTTTAAAAAGATTTATTTAAGGACACCTGGGTGGCTAGGTTGGTTGGGCGTCTGCCTTCGGCTCAGATCATGATCCCAGGGTCCTGGGATTGAGTCCCTCATAGGTCTCCCTGCTCAGCGGGGAGCCTGCCTCTCCCTCTGCCTGCCGCTCTCCCTGCTTGTGCTCTCCCTCTCTCTTTCTGGCAAATAAATAAATAAAATCTTTAAAAAATACATAAATAAAAGATTTATTTATTTATTTTAGAGAGAGATGGAGAGCAGGAGGGGAGGGGCAGAGGGAAAGGGAGAAAGAGTCCCAAACAGAGTCGGTCACTTAACCGACTGAGCCACCCAGGTGCCCCAACTAATAGTAATCTTATTAGAGATTTGAGTTATTACTAAAGGAACTACTAAAGAGTTCATGTCGGTGCACCTGGGTGGCTCCATCGGTGGAGCATCAGACTGTTGGTTTGGGCTCAGGTCATGATCTCATGGGTCATGGGATCAAGCCCCGAGTAGGGCTCTGCACTCAGCACAGATTTGGCTTGGGATTCTCTCTCTCCCTTTCTCTCCCCCTCTCCCCCTTCCCCTGCATGCACTCTCTCTCTCTCTCATAAATAAAATCTTAAAAAAAAGAGAGAGTTAATGTCATAGAAAAATATCTCTTCAGCTGGATAAATAGTCCATGTAATCACACAGTAGACAAAGCAAAAGCAAGATCTTATTGACAGCTATAATCCTGGGTAAGAAATTAGGAAGCGAACTTCATAGGGGACACCAGTACTTAGCCTGAACCATTTTAAGTCTTTTCTGTTTTCATAATACAAATCTGGGTCTTTGAAATCAACAGACTGACACGCTATTGATTCACAACCTCAACAACTTTGTTAACCCTTTTTTAAATGAAGTCACTCTGGGGCGCCTGGGTGGCTCAGTCATTTAAGCGTTTGCCTTTGGCTCCGGTCATGATCCCAGGGTCCTGAAATCAAGCCCCGCATCCAGCTTCCTGCTCAGCGGGGAATCTGCTTCTTCCTCTCCCTCTGCCCCTCTGCCCCTCCCTCCACTTGTGCATGCTCTCTCTCTTTCTCTCTCTCTCAAATAAATAAAATCTTAAATAAAGTCACTCTGATGTTAGAACTCACTAGAAGTATACCAGCTTTACAGTTCTTCAGAATTCCTTATGCCCCCTCAAGCAACCCTCTACAATATAGTTTAAAATCTAATCACACTTCTCAGTATTATAATTTTGAACAATCGACAGGATTCATTTTGGGTTTGTAATGTACTCATTGGGAACCATATGGCCCATTTAAGTAAACATCTGTGATTCCCTTTAGTTGTACACTGAAAATAACATGCTACATGAAGATTTTATTTGGTCTGGTATCAGAAGCTTCACTGCTCTTCTCCAATGGTTACTCAAGCAGGGACATGTCTGGTCTTCTTGAAAGCTTTCTTCTATATGCTACCCTTTCTTGCTTCTTCTTCCCTGCTAGCTGGTTTCCTATACGTCTTTGTAAAACTCACTTAGAAGTCAAATCTTGCAAGGAGTCTTCTCTGCTTAGTCCCAGCCACTTTTCTGTGTATTCCCTTGGACCTCCTGCAAAATTATTTTTTTTCCTTATCACAGCATTCTTATGCTCAGGAATGTTGAATGAATGAATGAACCCATGAATGAATAAATAGTTGAATGAATGCCAAGATTAATGAAAGGTTTATTGTGCTTCTCCAATATGTTTACTTATGTTGGTGTATCTTAAATTTAAATGACTCTTGACCACCACAATCCTCCTCCACATGCACACATACTGGGGCAAAATAGTAAAGACATGAAGGCCCAATCTGCCGTATTTGCAGTAAACTGATAATGACCACACTACTTCCAGAATGGTCTATCTCTGGTTCCCAGTACATAGCATTTGAATCATCATCATTGTTCAGTCCTAGGCAAATCTGAAAGGACAGGATTCATTGGGAAATAAATGTTCTCTTAAGTTCCTAGAGGATTATTATAAAAACAGTGAGACAAAGATTCTTTCATGTTGGAAAAAATAAAACAAGACTTCTGTAATTAAAACCAAAAACTATAGTATAGATGAGAAAAAGCAGTAATCAGCTTAAAATGGGAAAAGCCTGGGTTTCAAATATTTAATTTTCTCTGAACTAAGAAATTGATGCAGACTGTTGTGGGTGTTTTAAGATCAAAATTATTTAGACAGATATATGTAGAATGTTTTGCTATTGTAGGTATGGGTTAGAACTAGCTCCGAAACTCATTTCCTTTCTTTATAAACAAAGATGGTTGACATTTACTAGAGGCGCTCTTTCTTCCCTACCACATATAATTGTGATCTATGTAGCAAGAAGAGCAAAAATCACTATTAAAGATCTATTTTTTAAATTTCCCTACTACCATTCTCAGTCATGTAGGCCATGATCCAGGCTAACTTAGAAGGCACTTTGGAAAGAAGGTAGAATTTTCCCCTTCCTATGAATTCTATAATCACTTCTCGTGATTGGATACACCAGTATTTTAATGTTGTAGAGGATGTGGTATTGTTTGTTTTCTCTCAAGTATATTTTAGAGGCTGTCTTTATCTTTGGGGACGCCATAGATCAAAGTTTGATCCTTAACTTTGCAGGCTCAAAAACTTGAATTTGACAAGGCTCCAAAAGCTGATTCACTACTCAAGTATTCATGATGTATTAATTTACAATGAGATTTGTGTGTGGCTGGGGAAAGGGACCAGTTGTCTATAGAAAGCAAATTCATACATTTTTTTTTAAGATTTTTATTTATTTATTTGAGAGAGACAGAGCATGAGCATGAGCAGCAGGGAGGGGCAGAGGCAGAGGGAGAAGCAGACTCCCCGCTGAGCAGGGAGCCCGACACAGGGTTCCATCCTAGGACCCTGAGATCATGACCTGAGCTGAAGGCAGACGCTTAGGCGACTGAGCCACTCAGGCAACCCAGTAAATTAATAAACTTAATGTTCTTTGTGATAAGCCCCAAGAGGAGACAAAATATTTGCAACTATGTTGTGTTCAGCAACAATTTAAAAAATTAAACTTTAACTCTAGAAAGATTCATATAATCCAGTCTGCAACCTTGATTTTGCAGATAAGAAATTGGGACCCTGGGTTTTCACAGCTATTTAATGACAGAGCTGAGACTAGAACCTAAGACTCCCAGATAGAGATCTGTGTACTTCTCACAACCCCTGCTGCCTCCCTGATTTTGGAGTGAGATGGGTAGTCAGAAGTTGAAACTAAAGATGATCCAGGGGTGCCTGACTGGCTCAGTTGGTAGAACATGCAACTTATGGTCTTGGGGTTATAAGTTCAAGCCCCACATTGGGTGTAGAAATTACTTAAAAAACTAAAGTCTTGGGATGCCTGGGTGACAGTCGGTTAAGCCTCTGACTTGGTAGTGGCTCAGATTGTGATCTCAGGATTGTGAGATCGAGCCCAGCATCAGGCTCCACGCTCTGCATGGAGTCTGCTTGAGATTCTCTCTCCCTCTCCCTCTGCTCCTCCTGCTTGTACTCTGTCTCTCTCTCCAAAATAAATTTAAAAATCTTTAAAATAAAATGAAAAAAAAAATTTTTAAGTAGACTCCATGGAGCTCAACACTAGGCTTGAATTCACGACCCTGAGATCAAGACCTGAGCTGAGGTCAAGAGTGCAACATTTAACCAACTGAGTCACCCAGGCACCCCCAAAAATAAAATCTTAAAAAAATGGTCCAAATTCTTAAGTGACTATAAAATTAAACAGGAAAAAAAGCTTAAAAGGAAAATTTTTATGAAGCTTATGTGATAAAGCACCT